GTTGAAACACTTGTCTGTTTTCTTTTATATTACTTCACGGTAGTTTTGAGAAAAAAAAACTTCCTGTTCAACCACTTTGAAATTCGGAAGTACTTATTCATGTTACATTTGGCCCTTTGAACCTTTTTTTGAAGTTTCATGTTATTTAACTCACGTTTTGTTTTGTTGTTAAGATTTGTTTGTACATTAGTACAAGTGACAAAATGTTTGATTGATTGTCTGATATATGATTGTTAATCTTTTCTTGTTCTGCTATAACATTACGAGTTGAAATCTGGGCAGTTTCTACCTGAGCAGTTAAACGTTTTAATTAATTAAAAATGAAAGTGATTATCATTTATAAACAAAAAAAAGATCAACTTTATCCATTTTGTCATCTAATTTAAAACAAGCCGTATTCAAGTTCTTTGTTTTAATTTTTATTCAAATTCATGGAGTCATGTGTTGAAATCTTATGCTGTTTATGTTATGATCTGTCCACGGAAGAATGAATTCTTTTTGTCTAGTATTGACAATCTAGTTGATCGACAAGTTTATTTCCTCTTTTTTTAAATAGAAGTTTACAGATAAACATCAATGATTAAATTGACTAGATAAAGATCTTTCAAAAACGCCGAAAGCTTAAATTTGCCAGAAATTCATTTCCCCAATTTAAATGAATTTTTATTAATTTTTAAGCAGCTAGAAAGGAATCATCTGCTAACCTCTGTAATGGCTTATTTATGATTCTGTTCGACAGATCACCAAGTAAACATTTATTTAATGAGCTTGTTAAACCGCAATTTCGATTTATGTTGAATGTTCACTTTTCATTTGTAATTTTTCAATTGACAAACAACAATGAAGCAGATTTATTGCTTCAATTAAGCGACAGTTCTTCACTTATTTTCGACAATTTCATTTGATTGAAGACAAACGGATTATCTAATAAAAAAAAGTTATTTATTGCATTTTCTAAAATGTTTTGCGTTGAAAACTATAAATGTAAATATTTAACTCGATTTCATGCTTCGTTTTCACAATTATCTGGTCACATTATGAACTTCAAGTTTCTTTTCTTCCAAATTTTATCTGATTACGCAATATTGAAAACAAATTCATTTTAATCTGTTAAATTCCGGAGATAATTGACACGAAGAGCGTGAAAACAATAACATTCGCCAGCCTTCGATTTCGTTCTCTAAGGTCGTTGCTTTAAAGAAGAAATAATTCTCAAGCTTTTATGATCTTAGTCATTGGTTAAAGATAAAATTATTTATGATTTGCTACACAACTTAACAAATAATGTTGCATTGTTGCATTTAGTGGATTTCAGGCGACAGAAATTTAATTTTAATCACAGCTTTTAACTGAAACCATTTTCTTAAGCTTTGCAATAAATATTTTTCTGGTTGTAATTTGTTCGTTAAGGCAAGTCAAGATCGTAATTATCTATTCACACATGAAGTCACTGGATCTTTTAATGGAGATTTCCCACTTTTATTTGCATTGTGACTTGTATGATTAGAACCTGTCAAGCTCCATTCCGATGTTATAATTTACTACTTCAATTATTAACTTCTTACCTTCTCTGTTTATTTTTGCCATGAAGTTAATTAAGTTGATCTTATTTGCTATCCCATTAAGACAATTGTGAATCGATACGAGCTGCTTTTAAATTGATTTTATATTCTACAGGCATATTCTTGATGACCCCACGACATTAAATAGATCTGTTTAACGTATAGAGAGAAATCTTGTAACATTGTTTGCTAAATTATTTTGAAATGACTAATGTGGGATTCCTACATTCGTCATTCTTCAAACTTCGATCTTCGATCTTCTTTCGCATATGATTTTTAAATATTATTGCTTCTTGTTATTCATTTAGTGCATTTGCATTGACTTGAATTCAGTTGGCTCGTATGTACGTGCAATTCAAGTCAATTGCATTTGACTACTGAGTAATGCGAATGAGAATAGATTAATTTATGTGAAGCGTTGGCTTTTATGTAGATAATTTAAAAAACATATAAAACAGCCATAAATATTGTTTGCTAATAACTTTATTGCAACAAAAACCACTAGAATGACTTTCGATTACAACCTTGAAGTATCAAAAATTAACTTTTCAACTTCTTGTGTTTGTTCAAGTTCAGATAATTGCATCGTTAAAGATTATGAAAATGTAACAACATCAATTAATAAAATTTATTTGTTTATTTTTAACAATTAAGAACGAATTGCTAAGTCGACAGCATGGGGTCAATTCCACAGCTTTCTATCGTGAAAGGGAAACATTCGCAGTTATATCCGCGATTGTTGCATAAAATTTTTGAAGAAAGGGTGGACAAAATATGTGGAGATAAGACAGCTTTGATATTCCGTGAGAATGATGCTGATGAACAGAAGACAAATTACAACACATTGAACTCATCTGCTAATAGAATTGCGTCAGCTTTATTAAACAAGATTAAATTGAAGAATCTTCAAGCAAATAGTGATGGCGATTGGATAATTGCAGTGTGTATGAAACCATCAGATAACTTAGTGACAACATTGCTTGCTATTTGGAAGTGTGGAGGTAAAAGATCACAAAACTAAATTTATTGTGAAAGGTTTTAAAGTTGATGTGCTTACAGCTGCATATTTGCCGTTGGATGTCACTTTTCCAGCCAATCGCATTACTCACATTTTAAATGAATCCAAACCAGTTCTAGTGAGTGTTAACATAAAAGTTTTTGAACGCACGTTCATGTTTTCGTTCGATCATTAACCCGATCACTTTGCTTTGTATTCATTTACTTTTTCCTATTCAGATCATTCATGATGACGACTTCGATCGAACAGACGTCTTTGATGCAAATTTCAATCCTATTAATTATAATGAACTAAAAGAAGAATCAAAGACATTCAGCAATGCAAATATTGAAGAACAATTAACATTAACTGGTGGCGTGACAGACATCGCAATCGTGCTTTATACGTCTGGCTCGACAGGGGTTCCCAAAGGTGTCCGATTACGTCACTCAATAATACAAAATCGTTTAGAATGGCAGTGGAAAACATTCCCTTACTCAAAAACGGAAATTTACGGTGTTTTTAAAACGGCCTTGACCTTTGTCGATTCCGTTACAGAGATTTGGGGACCTTTACTCAACGACATGGCCTTGGTTTTAGTTCCGAAAGAAATCACAAAAAATCCTTCTAAACTTGTTGAAATCCTTGAAGAATTTAGAATTGAGCGATTGGTTTTAGTGCCAACACTTTTACGATCGCTTTTATTATTTTTACCTTTACAAGAAAACAGTGGAAAGTTGCTTTTTAATCTCAAGACATGGGTTTGTTCCGGTGAACCTTTGTCACTTCAACTTGCTAAAGAATTCTTTGATTATTTTGAAGAAGGGCGACATGTGTTGTGCAATTTTTATGGCTCAACGGAGGTAAGATAATTCTAATTAGTTTCCACTTAAATGCTTTAATTAATTATTCTGATTCGTTATATTTTGATGTATGTAGGTCATGGGTGACGTCACTTATTACGTATGCGAATCGAAAAATCAATTGGATGCGATTAGTCGCGTGCCAATTGGCTATGCTTTGGACAACACGATAATTTATCTGCTTGATTCTGATTTTCGTCCGGTGAAAAGCGAGGAAATTGGCGAATTGTATGTTTCTGGTGGGAATCTCGCGTCAGGATATGTGAATGGAAGAGATCCTGAGCGATTTATTGACAATCCACTTGCTGTCGATCCAATTTATTCAAAAATTTATAAAACAGGAGATTTTGCATCGCTTATCAAAGGAGTGATTTATTACGAAGGTAGAACTGACAGTCAGATTAAAATCAGAGGACATCGTGTTGATTTGACAGAAATTGAAAAGAGTTTAACGAGTTTGGATTATGTTGACAAAGGTGTCGTTCTTTGCTATCATGCCGGTGAAATTGATCAAGCTCTCGTAGCTTTTTGTGTTGTAAAAGGCGACAACATGAATAAATACATCGCCAAGACAAGCACACAGATTGAAAATGACCTTAAATTACGATTGGCGAGTTATATGGTGCCGCAAGTTGTTGTCTTAGATTCCATTCCGCTTCTTGTTAATGGCAAAATTGATCGACAAATGCTACTGAAAATGTATGAAAACACGAATAATAATGATGATGCGGAAATAGAATTCGAAATGGATTTTGAGGGTGTCGACGAAAAAAATCTTGACAAGGTCAAAGTTTTATTTGAAACTGTTGGCGATTCAATTGGTCGTTCAATTCGATCGAAGTTGTCAATAAATGCAAACTTTTACGAACTTGGTGGCAATAGTTTGAACTCAATTTATACTATTGCGGAGTTGCGCAAAAAAGGTTTCTTCATATCAATTACAGATTTCATTACAGCACCAACACTTGGAATAATTGTTGAATGCCTCAAGACATCGAGCGATGGCGAATGTAACTTGTCGTCAAGTAACTTGCATGTACAATGCGACTTACAACTAACGTGCTTACCGTTAGCTAATGAACATAAAGAAGACACAATTGAAATCATTACAGCGAGTTTTTATGAAAAAGCTGACATCGAACAATTCATTAAAAATGACATTTTGAGAACAGATTATGCAGACATTCTTGAAGCTATTTGGGATGTGCTTGTGGCTAAAGAACTGAGTTTTATGATCAAAGATTCAAATGGAAGAAGTGTTGGTGTTGCTCTCAACTTTGATGCACGTGACGAACCAGAAGTTGAAGTTCATTCAAAGTTAATCGTGATTTTTGAATTTTTAGAATTCGTCGAAGGTCCAATAAGGTGAATAGGAAAATATGACAAGATTCCAATGAAATTTCTTTTAAAAACATTCTTCAATTCACAGAGATAATCAACTTCCCGAAGGTCTCAACCAAATACTTCATTCATTCATGATGACAACAAGTGCTGATCTCAATGCAAAAGAAAACATCGCAGTCATGCATTTCATGGAAAGCGAAGTGTTAAAGCTTGCGAAAAAGAAAAAGTTCGCTGGAATCTTCACAACAAACACATCGCCTCTCACTCAACAGTTGGGATCGAATGTTTATGGATATAAATCAATGCTTGAATATCCTATAAATCAATATGTTTATCGTGATGGAACGAAACCTTTTGGGAAAGCACCCGATACAAAAAACGTGATTGTTCATTGGAAAGATATTCGGAATGAATAAATTATCGTGAAGTGTTCAGAGTTAGTTATGTAGGTTTCATGTTAGAGGTTATTTAAGAAAACGAAAGGAAAAATCAATTTGACTTTCTTCATTTCAATCACAATATAAAGCTAAATCACTGCAATAAATAATAAAAGAAAATATTTACGAATATATTTTGACGATATCATAACGCGAGTGCTTTGCGAGAGTTGATTTATCAATTATTTAGCTTAGAGATTATTACTCACGAAGGTTTGAAAGCTTTTAAATTATATCTATGCTACATTATCGCAGTTTTCTGTTTTGACAACATAAATCAGCATTTCATGTATGACAAAAGATTTGTTAAATCCAACAATGTATTCTTGCTTTAGCAACAATAAAATTATTCCCCATGATTTCTTATTTATTTTTCTAAATTTAGAATTTGTTGATAATCATTTTCAGCTTTTTTTTTTGCCGGTAATTTGGTGGTGCAAATATTTGTAGGTGGAGTGTTTTATTTTTGGATAAACTAGATGCTCAATTTAGAGATTAGCATTGAACTGGTAAGCAAAAACTTGTCCTAACTTTAAAAATAACTTTAGTCCTTTTTATCTCCATCTTTGCAATCTAATTTAAGAAACTTTTCTATTAATCTTAATGATTGAGTGCCAATTTGTTGTTTAAAACCTTGCATTGTTGCATAATTGATTAAGATAAAGTTTGGTTTGTTTTTTGTTATAGTTAAAATTTTAAGAGATTAAATCTACAGAAAATATTTCCTGCAATTAACTTCTCAATTTTTTTCTAAGGATGTCTTCATGCTAAAGTTAAATGTCGAAATGCATAACGGAATCTGGGATTAAAAATTTATATACTCGCGATAAACGCGAATGTGTTAATAAACATTCGATGCATCAAATATAAATAAAAGTAATTAATTCTTGTTTACTGTTTTTAAATTCAGAGTTTTACAAAAAAAAAAAGTCAAATGACGCTTTCATTCCTACATTTTAATCTAAAAGCTTCTACGTGCTAACGCGTGTAAAACAAAACTTTTTTTTTGGTAGTTGACATCAAGTTTATTGACAAAGTAAAGAACAAAAAAAATGTTAATGAATTAATGTGTTTTCAATAATCATTGCTCGAGATAGATTTCTAGCACACGCCAATCTCAAAAGTTGAACTAAGTCATCGGGATATCCGTCAATTAAATTCAACTCAATATCATCTCCATGATCAGTGTTAATATTCTCCCTTTGTCGGTTCTTCTTCTCAATAAAAGGAATTAAATTACTTTCCAAATGATGCATGATAATGTAAGTTTCCTTCGATGGAATGATTGGCTCGTTGTGTTCAAGCAAAGGAATTGCATCAGCTAAGAGTGATGGCCAAAAGAATTCTGGAATAATTTTCGAATCCAAAAGATTCACCAGTAACTCTGCTGCTTGTGCAAGTGCTCGAGAACTGAAGTAACGATGAAAATCGAAATACTTCACAAGAAACAATAAACGAGGTGAGATGAACATTTTGGCACCAACATGAGCGAGTAAATCTTTGTGAAGCATTTTACCAGTTTTGCAATAATGAAAGAGAAAAACATTCGCCACTTTTGTCACATAAATATTGTCACGTGAACGAATCGCCCACTCAAGAGCATTTCCATAATTATGCAAAGACATTGAACGTTTCACCATAACACGACAAATATCTTGTTCGATCGCTGCTAAGCCATGTCGTCGAGCGACAGCGATGACATTCGTCGCCTGAAGATCATTTTTGATTGGAATACGTTGTAGAAGAATTTCACGAGCTCCAAGACCTTCAGATGATGAAAATTCCAAATAATCCATTCCAATTTCCCACAAGGATCCACGAGACATTAACATCGCTCCATAATCGTAGATGAGATTTTCACGAAGTGCAATAACCAAAGACGTATTGTCACCTTCATTACTCATTCTGAGTTGATCGCAGTGAACTAACAAATCAGTCAAATGAACAACAAACCATTTATTGTCAGCAATGTCTTGAATCGAATGAATAAATTCAGCCATGTCGTTCTTCAGAACAGCAAGAACCATTCTTTCGAGATGATTTAAGTTTGTAAATCCACTGGATCCTTTACTGCTTGCCCATTGACTCAACCATGAATTAACTGATGCTCCAAGTTCAAAATACTTTGCTGATGGTTGTGTGAAGAATAAAAACCCAGCGAAATGCTCGTACCAACAATTGGAATCTTTACAAACTTCCATCCATGTTGCTTTGTCACCAGTTATGAGTTTCATTATATCTTCAAGATCAGGTTCGGTTGAATATAATCCAGAATCTATTTTTGAAATTAATGTTGTTGACCAATAAGACCATTGAGATCGGAATTTCTGTAATGACAATCCACCGTGAGAACTAAAAATTGGCATAGATTGAAGATCCTTTTCAGCGAGTTGAAATGTCATCGTTTCTGAAGATGAATGAAGTTTGAGAAGAGCTCGAGCAATGTCGATTTGTCCTTGAAGAATTAATCCTTTAACAGTTACCCAATAGTTGGATCTGACATCAACATCACGATCAAGATTGATGAGCATTTCAGCTGCATTTTGACTTGGAGATGGAAAATGAAATTTTGTCTGAGGAAACAAAAAGTAATTAATGTGAATTCTTAAATCATTTTAATCATTTCTCACCCATTCCAAGAGATTTGGTACTGTAGATATTGATGATGAATCGATAAGAAGAAACTCACAAAGATGCCATGAACATTCAATTGAGTAAAAAATTGTGACAAAGTTTTCGTATTTCTTCACATCATCCGAATTTGAGTCTTCGTCGTCGATTGCTTCACGAAGCTTATTTAATGTTGCACGTATGGCCGAACGATAACTTCGAGATGTATGAAGATAAAATTCACTGGTTTTGTCTTTTGCTGTTTGTAAATTATAAAATATGCTGCTGGATTCAGATACGAGTCCACGCAAAACTGAATCGTCGAGAGCAAAAGCTTGTGAAATGTGAAAAACATTAACTTCAGAAGTGTTTGCGAATTTTGTTGGAACATCTCGTGATGTGCTTAAAACAGGTTGAAACCCATGAACTGATATAAGTTCATTAGTTATGAATTTTCCTGTTAATCCACACATTTCACTTAATTTATCTGCGACCTAAACACCGGTAAATTCACAATTAATAAAATTTCTTAAGGTAAACACTTGATCTTACCACACAAACATTTTCTTCATTGCCTGACATGTTTTATTAGACTTTTGTAACAGAGAATGGTATATTTATTTTGATATTTTAATGTTTTTAATTATTTTTAGTATTTAGAATTTTAGGCGGAAACGTGAAGTTTTGTTTTGTTTTAGTTTCAACTATGTTCCATTGCCATCCATTTCAAATATATTTCGTCCGTTAAAATCTGTATATGAAATTAAATAAAATCCCTTGTGGTAAGGACATGCAATCATGTCTAATTGATAATATAAAGATTTAAAATATTTATGATGAATATTCTGCAAAAGAGATTTTTGAATTTTATGGAAAAAATAACACAAACATTTATTTAACATCGTAAAATATCGAAAAAATTTTAAAAAAGAAAGTTTCATTTGCTAGATGATAAGAAAATCATGTAAATAAATTAAATTTTATATAAATTTTCGTTTATGAAATGAAAAGAAACAGTCATTCAAAAATAATAAAAATCATAAATCATTCGTCTGAAATTAATTCTCAATCGATTGTCCATCCCTACATTTATCAACGCACATACACAAATCGCACACCAAGTTAAAAGATTTAAACAATCAAACAAAAGAGAAAATAAAAACAATGTTTGTCATCTTTCTAAGCGACTGAAACAAAAACACTTCAGGAAAGATTTCAGTTATTTGCCGGTTTTATCAAGACAAACACACAGTAACTTGAGTGAACTTTTACGACATGGAAGGTACGGTATTAAAACACAGCCAATATTTCGTTTTAAATGTTTAATAATTTAGATAACAAAAACACTCGACCTGGATATCCATCACCATTATGGGCTATGAAAAATGGTCCTCGTGAAAAGATTCTTTATGTCGTGACTGTTCAACCAAACGCAAACGATGAAAACGGTGATTATTTGTCAACTGTTGACGTGGATCCGCAAAGTGAAACATTTTGTCAAGTTATTCATCGAGCATATGCCGGTAGGAGGGGTCAAGAGTTTCATCACACTGGCTGGAATACTTGTAGCAGTTGTCATTCATGTTCGAAGGCTTGTGACACTCCAAAAAGGGACAAACTTGTTCTTCCATGTCTCATGAGTGATGCGATGTGAGTTTAATTGCTTTTTTTTTCTTTTTGTTTATTTATGAAAAAGTTTTCTTCTTTTCGTCTCTTATCAGATTTATTTTCGATGTTGGAAATGATCCGAAAGCACCAAAATTATTCAAGATAATTGAGGGTGATGTGCTTCGTAAAAATAACGTTTCAGCACCTCACACTTCACATTGCTTGGCTAATGGGAATATCATGATTTCAACAATGGGCGATGCCGAAGGCAATTCATGCGGCGATTTCATTCTTTTCGATAAGAATTTTGATTGTCTAGGTACGTGGACGAAAGGAAAGAAAGCAATTTGCGGGTATGATTTCTGGTATCAACCTCATTTCAATATTATGGTTGCTAGTGAATGGGGTGCACCGAAAATCTTCAGACGTGGCTACGAAAACACTGACATCGAATCAGAAACTGATTATGGAAGGCGAATCAACTTTTATGATTGGAAAGAACAGAAACTTATCGACACAATACATTTGGGAGATGAAGGAATTACTCCACTAGAAATTCGCTTCACTCACAATCCAAAACGATGTGAAGGCTTTGTTGGTGCTTGCTTATATTCAAATGTTTTTCGATTCTACAAGAAAAATCCAACAGATGAGAAGTTTACATGTGAAAAGATTATTGACGTTCCAGCAAAGAAAATTGAAGGTTCAGATGTGAACGGAATGATGACTGACATTCTTCTGTCACTTGACGATCGATTTTTGTATTTCAGTAATTGGATGCATGGTGATGTTCGTCAATATGATGTCAGTGATCCATCAAAGCCTATTTTAACAGGTCAACTGTTTCTCGGTGGTGTCGTTTTGAACGACTCAAATGTGAAAGTAATTGAAGATAAAGAATTGAAGCAACAGCCAGCACCATGTGTCATCAAAGGACGAAGATTAGAAGGAGGCCCACAAATGCTTCAACTTTCTCTTGATGGAAAACGTTTATATGTATCGTCATCACTTTTCTCCCCTTGGGACAAGCAATTCTATCCTAAAATGGTACGTGCTGGTGGGACAATTGTCCAAATTGATATTGATGTCGAAAAAGGTGGAATGAAATTGAATGAAAATTTCTTAGTCGACTTTGGCAATGAACCAAACGGCCCATCGTTGCCACATGAAATGAGATATCCAGGTGGTGATTGTACATCAGATATTTGGTTAGCTAACGATGATTGATGAAATGTTTTGTAGAATTATTTCAATTGAGATGGCAGATGAAATATAAAGTTGAAGCTTTTAATTTTCTTGACTTAAATTTTTGTTAAAAAACTTCGAAGTTCCTGAAAATCAAAGCAAACTTCAAAAACAATTCTCTTCTGATTATTTAGATGTTAAGATTGGATTTATTTATATTTTTTATCTACAGTCAACTATTTATTAATGTTTACAGAGGCTTCGACACCTTTTAATTTTTTTTCTTTTTTTATTTTGTACTCGGAGTAGACAAACGATTTCATCTCCAGCACTCTTGAACTTCTTCCACTAAGCATGACGACACTGATCATATTCTAAACTTAATCATCTACTGTCCAAATTTTATTTATTTGCTCTTTTTTTATTTATAAAAGCGATATTTCGTTCAAACTTCAATATTTGTTTCTTTATTTATTCAAGCTATTTCTTTAAACTCTTATTGCGAATATAATTTTTTCTTCTTTCGTGTGTGTGTGTTTGATTGATTCAAATATTTTAGTACAGAAAAGTTTCATTTCATCTAATTCATCGTCATTCACACATTTTTTCTGTTCACACCTTACAGTTGTAGTTTAAACTTCTAAAGCAAGAGTGTTGATTTTCAATCGTCACAAAACTATTTCATGTGTCTACTTAAAGTTTGAAGTAAAACAAATTCTATTTGACATTCTGTTATCATATTGTCGAATGTTATCGAGAAGTGCAGAGATGAAAGATTGTAAGAATGCTGATCAGATGGAAAAATTAAATATATTATTGAAATGCCACTGAAACTTTTAATGTTCATCTCTTTAAAAAATCCCCAAAACTAAGTTCATTAACGAAAGAAAATCTAAAGTTTGAATATCAATCTCATTCATCAGCATCCTCATAATCATCCCACACTTCTCTTGATATATTTTCTCTTTTCTTAAACATATTTTTACGATAACATCAACAATTTCGTGAAACTTTTCCCATTCACTCTCTCAAAAAACTAAAGAAAAACTTATATTAAGTAATAAAATTGTGAAACTTCTAGGAGATGACAAGCAATTTATGTCGCAACAGCTTTATGCTTTCTTAACCACCTTTCAAATGACTGTAGAATTTTGCGGTTGTTGAGTTGAAGTTTCACTTTGTTGCTGTTGTTGTTGTGTAATCTTACGGAAGGTTCTAAATGTTTTCCATTCTCCAGTATTATAATCGAGTCTGATAAATGTATCGACATGCATGAGAACGACTGAGTTGTCGGTTTGTTTCACTTGTTCCTAATAATTTTAATTTAATTTGTAGTAAATTTAATTACACTTATTAAGTTAAATAAATTTTACCTTTGAATCGTAAAGTTTAATTGTTATGACATTATCTGCACTTGGTCTTGGATTGTCACGATATCCTGCCATAAATCCAAGAATTAAAGCTTTATCCAAACGTGACACACGATTTGCTTTCTTAAACATTTCACTTGCAACAGCGACATGTTTCGACTGAAACAAAATTTATAAATTAAGGACGAGTTCAATAAAACAAAACAGAAAACTTACAGATAATGATAATCCACGTCTCGGTCCACCAGACGTTGCCGGTGTTGTCGCAATTTTGATTGTTGTTCCACCTGCTGCTGCTTGTTGATTCTGTTGAGAAGTTTGTTGTTGCTGCTGTTGAACAACAACCTGCGGTCTCGTAATGATCGTTTTCTGCATTGTTTGTGGCTGCATAATCTGTGTCGATTGAACAAGCTGCGCTTGTTGTCCAGGTCGTTGAATAAGCGTCAATTGTCCACCTTGAGGAACTCCAGTAATTACTGGCCGTATTTGTACATGATTTGAAGTTGCTTGCGAATTTTGTATTGTTGCGAGATTTGTTATTAAACGTGGCACTGTTTGTTGTTGTTGTTGATTCGAAGTGTTTGCTATAACCAACCCGGGGATATTTTGAGTTAAATTACTTGTTGGAACTAAAGCTGGAATTTGATTTGTTGTCTTTTGTTGATTTTGATCAACAATGTTTCTTAAAACACCTGAAGTTATTGGAATTTGCTGGTAAATTGGATTACCACCAGGTCCAACACTTTGAAGAATGACATTTCTCTGTCCAAGATTCAAGTTCTGATTTTGATTTGAAACAATAATTGTTTTGCCTTTCATTGCTACACCGCCAGGCATAAGAATTTGATTAACTTTCTGTTGTTGTTGATTTTGCTGTTGGAATTGTTGTGCTTGTTGCGGTTGTTGTTGCTGCTGCTGTTGTTGATTAGCAGCAAATGTCATCGTTTTCCGTCCTTGATTTTGTATATTTTGAATATTTAGCAACGTCGGTTGTTGTGTTGATATCAAAGGTGGAATGTTTTGCATTGTATTTTGATTTTGTCCCATGCCAAGAATTGTCGGCGTTGTTTTAATTTGAACAATTTTCGTAGGCGTTCCTTGTTGAATTGGTTGGATAATTGTCGGTTGTGCTGTACGCGTCGTAAGTGTTGGGATGTTTATATTTTGTCCTGACGACACCACAACACGTTGAACAATTTTGTTATTAGGTGAACTAATAACATATGAAGTCTGTCCAGCTGATGCTGCTGATGCTTGTGGTGCTGTAGCACGAATATTTGGCGTCAAAACAATATTCGATAATATTGTCGGCTTACCAGATGCATTCGCTTTTGCAATTAATGTTGGCTTTTGAATGACAGCTGTCGGTGACTTGGTTGACACCACATTAACACCCGAATTTTGTTGCGCTTGTGTCGTAACATATTGGACGGTACGAACAATCGTGTTGCTTGGAATATTGAGATGTGAAAGTGTTGGTTGACTGTTATTTGGAGCTGAAACCGCTTTAATTGTCACATATGACGATCCTATCGTTGATGTTGTTGGTGTTGTCAACACAATTGATTTGGGAGCGTTTGCGACTAGTGTCGGTAATGTTCGTGTAACTTTTATCATTTTTGTTTCTTTCTTTGTAGATTCTTTAACTGGAAGTTCATGTTTATTCGGTGATGATTTTATCTCTTCGATATCGTCTTCAAATTTCATTCGCTTTGGTGATAAGAGGCCTGCATCTTTCTTTTCTTTCTTACTAACGATAGTATTTGGTGAAATATCGGCGCTTGATGTTGTTATTGATTGCGTGGTGGAAGTGAAAAGCGATGTACTGACAATAGCTATGTCAGTGGTGGAAGGCATGGGAGTTGCTGGTTGGCTGTAGGCTATTGGAGCAGTTAACCCAGCTGCATAATCAGGAGTTGTCGTAGGTGTTGTTGGGGTAGTGGCTGTTGATGAGTCTTTAGCATTTTGTTCATTTTCAGCAGCACGCTTTTGCTGTTCTTCCAATTCTTGTTGTCGTTTTCTCTTCTTTGCTGCCGCATATCCCAAAGGTTGATCTTCGATTTCTAAGAATTTAACTCCACCATCTTTCCGACCAGCTGGTGTTACACGATTTATTGATGTCTTTGATTGTGTCGTTGTTGGAGTTTTAAAACCGCCTGATGATGGAACACGTGATGGGATGCCTTTCAAGGGCGTTGTGTCAGTCATTTTACGAGGCAATCCACGAGATCTTAAAGGCACAGTTGGAGCCGATGTCTTCTTGAGACTTGATTGAGCATCAGCTGATTTTTGCATCAATTCTGTCCGAAGAACCGTACTTTTGGGCTTTCGTTTCAGAACAAAATGTCGAGTAGGTGCAGGTTGATTTCCTACTAAAGTTGTTAAAGCTTGTTTATTCAAATATTGACACTCCAGTGGAAGCATCCGCAGATCATTCGTTTTATTAACTAAGCGTTTTAATTCAATCACCATATCGTTGAAGATGGGTCTTGAATCGTTGTGATCATAATCACTAATTTCAGTGTTTAGAGATCCAGACGCTGGCAATGTTTTCATTGATTCGGAAAGCATTGACACCCACAATTCAGGATCTTGCGCTGCTACTTCAAGGATTTCATCCAATTCAGTTTTCCACTAAAACGATTAAAAAATTCTCGTGAGATTCTTCAGGATCGTAAAATTCTTATAAGAATTGCAAGTATATGAAGAGGATGTAGCTTGTGTATGAATATGCGTATGTGTTGGTTATGTTAATAATTACGTACGTCAAACATAAATGTGTTGGTGACTCTTATGCGTTCCTTTGGAGGCAAGCCACGAATTTTAATGAACCTACCTCATCAATAAGCCTTCGTGGAATGTGAAAAAAGCTTAAAAGAAGCTTCAACTTCACTTGGGTTTGTAAATCCGTAAACACTTCTTTAATATTTCTAAGAACTTCCTTGTTAAGTTGCGAACAAATGGAAGAGCCACCATTGATCCATAAATCTAAAAATTATATTTGAATTATTGACACAATTAGTGAGATTCGTTTTTTTATTGTATAATGTAATTAACCGACCGTTTTGGCTTGAGCCTAGTTTGTTTTGAAGCCATACGCTAATGTTGGAAATATTTTTTATCGGGACTTTATCTTGCATTTTAAGTTTCACTTTAAAACTTCGCTCCGCCCTATGAACTCCAAGTTATTTTTAAAGTTAAAGTGTTCCCAAACAAAATGGAACAGAAAAAAGCTAGAAATGTACAGAAAAGACCAATTTTTTTACACTTTTTCTTATTTCGATATTTTATCATACAAGAAATTTATACTTGAACAAGAGTGGAAAATAATTTCCTAAGAAAACCTTTCATGTCCGACAGTCAAAAATTTTGAAATTAAATTAACCGTTAAGTTTTATAAAATAAGAAAATTAAATTTATTTTTATTTCAGTTTTATAATTCAAATAATTCATTCTTCTCTATTTAAGTATATAATCTGACGGTGTAATCAGAACCAGATGAAAACAACCATGGCTGTGTAGAATGGAAAAGAACTTCAAAAATTCCATACTCATTGTGTTTTTCATGATAATCCAATCGTTTCAATGGAACTATAAGAGGATTTTGCAGAAGATCACTAAAAATAAGAAGAATTAAAATTATTGACAATATTATTTACAATGAATATTTTTTTAAATTTACTTGTAAACCATTCCATGACAAACAATCACACCACGATCATCACTTCCACTAGCAAACAGAGGATATCTTGAATGATATGCCACACTTCGAACAGCTGATGAATGAAGTTTCAATGTTTGGTAAGGTTTCGTTGATAAATCAAGATCAAACCACATCATCTTCTTATCATACGATGACACTAATAAATTGTCACCTTTGGGATGTATCGCAATTTTTGATATCCACTTGCATGAAGGCATCAACTTCTTGATCAGCTCTTGTTTCACTAAATCATAAATACGAACATGTTGTTGTGTCTAAAATAAAAAATAAAATTAAGTTAAATGATAAACGTACGATAATGAAGGACTTACAGCAACAAACAAACAAGGCTTGACAGGATGAAAGAGAACGCATTGGACAAGTCCGTGAGGCTTTGAGAAAGCTGTTTGTGATTTTCGTTTTGATAGTTGATTTATCACAACAGAACGACTCAGCTAAATAATGAATAAATTAGGATTAAAACTTTGTATAGAAATAAATTTAATTATGACTTACACCACTCGGCATAACTGTTGCGAAATAATCACCACGTCCATGCCATGTGACTTGCTTAATTTCTTGAAAATGATTAATAATAATGCGAACTCCATCTTTATATTCACTTTCAGAAATATCTGTCGACCATTGAACTGCTGCTTTAATCTTCTCATTATCCAACTGATCTGTCGTTGGCGCTTCCGATAAAATGTCGTCAGTTTTCTTTGATATTAATTTAATGTCGCCGACATAAGGATTAATTAAGAGGCAACGTTTATCAGAAGCCACAGCAATAAGTGATAACTTTGGATTTGGACACCAAGCGACAGATCTCACGACTCCATTCGTGTTAATTGTCTTCAAACATCGACCAGTTGAAATTTCCCAAATCTTTATTGTCATGTCATCGCTGCCTGTCACGAGATATTGTCCTTTTGGTTCTATACTTAAAGCACGCACTAAATCAGTGTGACCACGATAAACCATACTTTCAACTGTCGGAAATGGTTGTAAATCTCTTGGCGAAGGAAGTTTAGGAATCAAATCTTCAGGTTGAACTGTCACCTTTGTTCTCTTCGCTCTTGGACATAAATAAAGATCGAGACAACGCAAGAATCGTTCACGAATGTAACGTTCGTAGTATGGGACTTGTCGCAGTGATTTATATTTCTGAGGAATAAAGTGAAGTTTACGTTTGTATGGTTGTTCTGCCAAACGATCCCATTCTCGTTTCTCGTCTTCATTAAAAAGATATTCAGGTGGTGGATTATAAGATTCAGCATGTCCAGGAAGTGCACGTTTAGGTGCAGCAACATGATCGTGAATTCGACGCATTTTTTCACGTCCAGTGTCGCTTTCCCATAACATAAAGAATTTTGGTTGTTTCCTTTCTTTGTCAATTTTCGCTTGTTCAGCTCGTGTTTTCATCCAACCCATTTTAAGTGAATGCACAATTCGGCCAACTTGTTTCTTTTCGGTTTTTGAAGGTAAGAACGATTGCTTGCTGTCTGGAACATTGCGAATCGGCATTGATTCAACTTGTGAAGTGAACCATTCAATCCACGGTGCATATTCATCAAAGTTTTGATCAGGATTTCGTTGCTTCATAACACGTTTGATGAGTTGAATGTCTTCTTCAGAAAGAACAACGTCCTGGCCAGTTTGAGGATCTTTCACAGTTCGCCAGAAGTCAGGATCTTCCATTTTCTTGAGAAAATCATCAATTTGGTCACGTTGTGGGGGTTTGATGATTTTTTTACCATCCCAATCGTAACCAATGTGTTTGTATTCGTCGTACCAATGAAGTGGGATGTTTCCAATAGTATTTCTTATATCCTCTTCGTCTGAAGAGTCGCCATCCTCTTTATACTCATCAACCGTCTTTTTATCATCACTTGTGGAAGGCTCTTCATGTTTTGTTCCACTTTCCCGAGATTTTAAAAATCCATCATCAGATTGTCGCAAATTTTCTTTAATCATTTTACTGAATGCTTTTTGTTCAGCTCTTTCAATTTTTCGATGAGCTCTCAATTCCTCAATCTTTTTTGCCTCTTCATGTTTCGCGATTTCATCTTCGTTTTCTTCCTTTTCTTCTTCAGAATGTTCAGAAAATTCTTCTGAGCTTTCGCCTTCGATGAGTGCTGCAAGATTTTCTTCATCCTCAGATTCATTTTCATCAAAACTTTCGAAGCTGAGATCGTCTGCTGAATCTGATTCATGTTCATTTTCGTCTTCCTCACTTTCATCGTCAGAATTATCATTCTCTTGAATCTCTTTTAAGAAGTTTTCCTGAAAATTTGATCATCAAATAAATGTAAACAGAAGCACATGTTAGAAGTTGAATATTTTTTTACCTGATCAGATTCGTAGTCACTTTGAACTTCATTCTCATCACTTTCCTCATCTTTCTCTTTACTTTTACTTAAAACTTCAGCTTCTGTTAGCTTGCGTTTTAATTTTGAGGGTAGCATTTCTTATTTTCAATCTAGGAATTAAATTTAATGTTCGAAGCAAAAATTTTAGTTTTGTTTTGCTACGCGTTAATGTCAACGTAAACGTAACGGCAACGCGTATGTAGTTCATTAAGTTTGACTCGGTTCAAAACTTGTTTTTAGTCAGAAAAGAAAAAAATGTTTCTTTATTAATTATCAAAATATTAAGCTAAGAATGTTATATTTAATAGATCAAAACAGTGCCAGAAAAAATAAATCAAAAGACATTATCAAAATCAGTTAAAATTAATATTGGAGCAAAGTAAAATCATTATTTTAATTAAAATGTTCGCTCTTCTGAATTTTTTATGATTCTACTATCTAATTATTGCATTTTTCTTATGTTCCAATTAGCCACAAAGTTCAGTATTTAAAATGGATCATCAAATGGTTGGATGTTGGGACTCTGTGCTGTTGGAGAACGAGTCAGAAAATTGCTTCATTTCAAACCTTAATTTACGGTTTAAACGTGATAATATATATGTAAGATAATAAAAAAAATGAAAAGATTTGCATAAAAAAGAAAAAGAAGACCCAAAACTGATGTGCAACAACAAATAGAAAATAAAAAAAAATCTATGTGTTATGTCTCGTGCCAATACTAATCATTAATATTTGATTATCTCACTTCCGTTCTTTCGCCAAATTTTAGACATACATCGGATCACATTTGATCTCAATAAATCCATATTGCAAACCTTCGACAATATTTTCTCCAGATTTAATAAATATTTATACAGAAAAGAGTTTGTTTCAATTGCCGCCTCACATGTGAGTAATCATAATGAAATTTTCCTTTATTGACTTCCTTAAATTATTTCTTCTTCTAGATACTCATTGACAAATAGTGTTTTTAAGTCTCTTCAAGATAACAATGAAGATCAATGCATTGTTATGCTTGGTGAATCAGGAAGTGGAAAAACAGAAAACTGTCGAATGATCATAAAATTCTTATCGATTATTTCGGGAAAAGTTGTTCCTCTTCAACGTCAACGTAGTTCAACTTCATTAATAAGCTTTAAAAGCACCACAAATTCATCATCATCAACCCCAAAACACAAATCTTCAACACCTGTTAACACTTTTCATCACCACGAGAAAACAAGTTGCTTTAAATCTGATGGCAATGTGAAAAATAAAAAAGTGTCACGTGTTGAATTTGATTTTTCGTATCAAAAATGTAATGACAGTGATTATAAGCAAGATACGATAAAGTTTTGTCCGAAACACAATTGTTGTAATCAGATAATGTCATCGTCATCATCCAATGCATCCAATCCAATCGATATTCCTAAAAGAACTTTTCTTCCATCAAACGAATTACCAACAACGTCAAGAAGTTTCACGGTGTACGAAAGTATGAATCGAGTTAATCAACCGAAAATACCTAATTGTCTAGATCTTCATTTGGATCAAAAGCAGCAAATTAAAGTCAAGTGTGAAAGTTTAGATCTCATAAGTGTTGCAAAAGAAAGTGCAAAAAATAAAGTTAGAACAGTTGACGTTTGTTCATCACTTGATGAGAAAATTTATGTGCGGAACGCGACTGATAAAATTGATTCAAAAAAGTCTAGCGCTTATCAAATGTCTTATAGTAAGAACAACATAAACTTGGATAACTTTAAAAGTGCCAAACGAAAAGTGCCAACAAAGAATTTATCAAAACTTCACACTCAACTTAATGGTTTGGAAATTCAGGCCATGAAAGAACGAATCGCACAAGCTGAAATATTTCTAGAAGCAATGGGATGTGCTGCAATCGAACGGAATAGAGATTCAAGTAGATATGTGAGTATTTATGCGGTTGTTATTGAATGAAAAGATTTTTGACTTTCAATCATTTCATTCAAAAGGGAAAATACTTTGACTTAGAAATTGATTATCGTGGTGATTTAATCGGTGGACATGTCATGCATTGTAAGTAATAAAATTTCAAATTTTGAAATTCTTTTGATGTGTAATTAAACTTGTTCATTAATGCTACCAAAGTTCTATTGGAAAAGGTATTTCAATGATGAGAAAAGTTTTGTGAGTTTATTCAAACTTTTAATTGATAATTTGTAATTTTCAGAGTCGAGTAACAAAATCACTGGATCGAGAACGAAACTTCCATATTTTTTATCAGTTACTCGCTGGAGCTGATATTCATTTTTTAAGTAAGATTTCTCTTTCATATTTGACAACTTTCTATTTTTAAGAAAAATTTCTTTACAGAATCGTTGAAACTTCAACGCAATATCAATAAATACGAGTTACTTAAAGACACCAACTCGGATGATAATGACAAATCACAATTCATTCGTACCAAGAAATCGCTTGAAATTCTGGGATTTTCAAACGACGAAATCTTATCGATCTTTAAGATCATCGCCGTAGTGTTGAAATTAGGAAATTTAAATTTTATTCCCATCACGAATATTGATGGAACTGAAGGATGTGAAATCTCGAACGATTACGGTGAGATTTTCTCCTGTTTTATTTGTAAATTATTTAATTAAATTAAATTTCTTACAGAAATTCGAGATATCGCACAGTTAATGGACATAGATGAACAAATTTTATTTAATTGCTTGACAAAATCGGGATCAAGTTGGCTTCAAATCGAAAACGGATCAGAACTCGATGCTATAAATGCCAATTTAATTAACAAAGCTTTGTGTCGTACGCTTTATGGGAGATTATTTACGTTTGTTGTTAGTAAAATTAATGATTCGTTAAAGGTAAATTTAATTTTAATTAACAAAATCTTTGAAACTCGTCTAAACAGTTTTCTCCTTTCACAGATTAAAAATCTTACAAATCGAGGACGTAACTTGGGAATTTTGGATTTTTTTGGCTTCGAAACACTCGATAAAAATAGTTTTGAACAATTGAACATCAATTATTGTAATGAAAGAATCCACCAAAGTTATATTCAAACAGTTTTAAAATATCAACAAGATTTATATCTAAGGGAAGGGCTTGAATGGACCAAAATTGATTTCTATGATAATCAACCAATTTGTGAACTTATGGATAAGGTGAATTGAAGTTTATTGAAATGAAATTTGATTGTCAAATTTATATTTTTGAATTGATATTAAAGCCTCCCTATGGAATATATTTTCTCATGGATGAACCAAAAGTGACAACGAATGAAATTCTTTTACAACGTCTTGGTCAATGCTGGTCAGGTCATACAAGTTTCTCGACACAAGATCACATTCCACCGAATTGCTTTCAGTAATTTAATCAAATTAACATTTTAAAATATTGTAAAGTAATTCTTTCTTTTTATTAAAACAGAATAAGACATTTTGCTGGCACAATAAATTATTCAATTTGCGGATTTGTGGAGAAGAACACCGACAAAATACCTAAACATCTAAGCTCAGGTTTATACCAGAGTAAATTGGCAATAGTACAAAATTTATTTCCCGAAGGTAGAAGATTCTGATTTTATTTGCAATTTAATTTAATTATTCATTTTTTTTAACAACAGGAAATCCCAAACGAGCTTCTAAAAAACCAACAAACTGTTGTTCAATTCTTCGTACATCACTGCAAAATCTTTTATCAAAAGTTGAACTTCGTAAGTGCCACTACGTGTTTTGTATTAAATCAAATGATAGACAATTGCCCAAGACATTTGAAGTTTCAATTGTTCAGCATCAAGTTCGGTATATGAGGTGAGAAGTCATAAATTTTTTTCTATAAATAAACAAAATCATCAAATTTTCATTTCCCAAGTCTCCAGCGGCTTTCTCTGGAAGAAAAAAAAGTTTATAAATCACTCAAACTGCCAATCAAATATTAATTTCCGTATCCTGAAGGACTAAACCATTAAAAAAAAATCCAAACCAACGCCATAATTTGTTTTTCGTTCTTTTCTTCCTTTTAAGTTTGATGCCTGTTGTGAGCTTATGGAGAAACGGATTTTATTTCAATTTTAGTCACATGAAATTTTTAAATCGCTACAAGATTTTAAGTCCATACACTTGGCCACATTTTAATTCAAATTCAGTAGTTGAATCAATTGCTCAAATTATTCGAAGCGTTCCATTGCCTGCTGCTGAATTCGGTATTGGACTAACAAAAGTCTTCATTAGAAGTCCAAGAACGCTTTACGAACTGAACGAATTCCGTAATTTACGGTTAAATGCACTGGCATCATTGATACAGAAAACTTTCAGAGGCTACTCACAGCGTACTTACTTTTGCCAGATGAAACGAAGTCAGATGATGATATCAAGTGCTTGGCGAACATGGAGGGTGAGTCAAACATATTTTAATATGAAAAGCATTTCGCATGTTTATTATTTACAATTCTATGCACGTCTCTTGTGTCTGTTGCATGATTTAAATTGATAATTTTTTGAAGGAGTGTCGTTATGGGATTCCATTCTCGGGTCGGAAACATCTTTGGGGTTTATATCGTGTGGTAATTATTTTTAACTTCTTATTTTTTCATTCTCTTTTGCATGAAATTTCCATGTTAATATAGCAAAGCTTGGCTTTATTTCTGAATATGAATTTTTATTAATTCGTTGTAAACTCTTCTATCAAAATCAAGGCAAAAGCTGAATATCGTTTTGCAAAATATAAAAAGCAAGTCGAATGGGCAATAACAATAATTCAACGATGTTACATTTTATGGAAACGTAGACAATATCTTCTGACACTTCCTTTACGACTTCAATCAAATAGTATGAGTCCAATATGCACAGAATGGCCTACAGCTCCAAGATTTCTTATCGAAACATCGCAGTTATTGAAAAGTATTTTCCATCGATGGAGGGTGAGATAGAAATTTTCATTTTCCTTTACATATTGAAATAAAAGATTTAAAATATTTTAACAGTGCCATAAATATCGTAAAATTTTTGATCAAACGGCACGTAATCGAATGAGAGAAAAAGTAACAGCAAGCATATTGTTTAAGGATAGAAAAGCTTCATACGTGAGAAGGTGAATTGAAGTGAAATTGAAAGTTTTTAGAGAGTTATTTCATAAGAGATTTGAATCTTTCAGTGTCTCACATCCATTTCTTGGCGATTATGTTCGTCTTAGACAAAATGTTCAATGGAAGAAGATTTGCGTTGAGAATAATGACCAATATGTTGTGTTTGCTGATATCATAAATAAAATTGCACGATCGAGTGGAAAGGTGAGAAAAATTTGCTTCATTTCATTCCATTTCCTTCATTGGATTATCATTATAAATAGTTTGTGCCAATACTTTTGGTGTTATCAACTTCTTCAATGCTACTTTTGGATCAACGAACACTTCAAGTTAAGTATCGAGTTCCAGCTTCAGAAATTTATCGAATATCTTTGAGTCCTTTTCTTGATGACATTGCTGTGTTTCATGTGAAAGCTGTAAGTGAAATGTTGTCATTAAAATTTTGTCAAAAGTATCGCTTGTTGTAATGTTTTCCTTTCCCAATATCGCTATTTAAATAGGAAGCATTCCCATGTGATGAATCTTCGACTTCTGACAACCCTAGTGGTTGTTTATTTCAGGTGTGAATGTGATCTTTATTGAAAAGGTTCTAAACTTCATTCATGACAAAAAAAATTTCTTTTATTTCCTCTCAAAAGTCTGAACTTGGAAGGAAAAAAGGAGATTTCATCTTTCAAACCGGTCATGTGATTGAAATTGTGACAAAAATGTTTCTTGTAATCCAGAATGCGACAGGAAAGCCACCGGAAATTAATGTCAACACTGAGTAAGTTTGTTTTTATCTTCAAAATTGAATGTCAACGAATCAAGTTTCATTTAAATGTCAAAAATTAGATTCGATGCGAATTTCGGTCAACAAACCGTGATGATGAGTTTCAAGTGCAGTGGAATGTCAGAATTGGCATCTCAACAATTGACCAGAGTATCTCGTAAAGGAAATAGAATGGAAATAATCATATGAAACTAAAAGTAGTGAAATTTTCAGCAATAATTGCGTCAAGAGTCGAAAATCAATTCTTCCTTTTTCTGTTTCTTAACTAATAAAAAGAAAATTTAATAATAATGAAAAACTGAAGTGCTCTTCTGATAAATCAAATGAAGAAATTAAATATTTACAAAATCGACAAAATACGAATACTGAATAAAAATAATAAAACAAACAAAATGAAAGATTTAATTATTATTTCGATAATCTCTAAAAGTATTAAACGCGTGTTGTCGTCGCGGTTTATTAAAGAAATTCATTTTAATAATAGAACAACTTTTAACACGGTATAATTTTTCACAATTCACATATCACACATGTTTCAATTCTTTTAGATTAACTAATGTTGAATTTGTTGTTTAAGAAGTATTCGTTAGTGATTACAGAAACTGTAAAAGTTTCTTTCAAATGATTCTTGTGCTTCACAAAACTATTTAAATTTATTATAAATGAAATTGTTGCCAAAAATAAACAAATTCCCAATTCGTTTCCACTTCCCTCTAAAATTTAAATAGTAGTTGAATAAGTTGCTGGTATTCAACTTTCTCACAGCAATAAAAATATTAAAAGAATAAAATGTCGATGCCAATCATTATCAAAACATTTAAAGATTTTTATCATCAGAATTTTATTCGCTTTAATGACAGACAGAGAGATATGAAACATCAATTTAAACATATCTGTAATCTCTAAAGTGATTCATTATAAACAATATTTCAAAAAGAAAATTAGAGAAGAAATTAGCTTTGATTTAATTCCACAAGCATAGCATTAATTATAATAAATTCACAAGAAAATTAGTTAAATTTTCAATATGCACCAATTTTGTTGAAGAAAATTTCTAAGTTTGTTGAAAACTTTAATTTGTAGTTTATTGAGACACTGCCACACACGACATTAGTTAAGATTTAAAGATGTCAAAGAAATGTAGAAAAATAAAATAAAAATGACTGAAAAAGAATTTGATTTTTAATTGTTTACTTTTGATAAGACGAATTATGTTTAAGTTGTAACTCTGGCAAGATTTTCGACTATCCAAATAGAATTTCAGCATTGATTTTCGTAACATAAACAGATATGAGTTGTTGATCTTCTTTATTCTAAAGCAATATTTAATTAATGATCTGATAAAGTTTTATTAAAACTCATTAACATAAAAACAAGCTTCAACCATCACCAATAATATTCATTAAACCTGTTCCAACACCATCACATGATTTAAATAATAATCAAGCTTAGTTTTCAATTCTGAAATTATTTTTTAACTTTTGCCAGCATTCGAAATATTTGTGATCGATTTTATTGCAAATATGTTGACCCCATTTTGTCAAGGACAAACTCAATGATGATTCAAACATGAATGCTTGAGTTCCATCAGCGATTCTTTGCGGTTCTAATTTAGCACTCGAAGCTTTCTCGAAGCATTCGGAGTCAGGTCCATGGGGAGTCATAATAGAATGAAGTGTTGCTCCACCTGGTGCGAATCCACCTTCTTTAGCTTCGTACTTACCGAAGATCAACCCCATAAATTCACTCATGCAATTGCGATGGTAGTAAGGTGGCCGAAAAGTGTTTTCCTGCACCGACCAACGAGGTGGAAAAATAACAAAATCAGCAATTGCTGTTCCATATCGCATCGATGGACATGTCAACACAGTGAAGATGCTGGGATCCTGCCAAACAAGAAATATTTGTTTATCATCATCTTGCTAAAACTTTCAGAACACTCACACAATGATCGAAGCTGACCGAGTTTATGACCATGAATTTCGCTAAGTTGTATTTATATGGAACATAATTTCCATGCCACGCAACAACGTCATAAGGCGAATGATTCTGCAAAGCTTTAAAAAGAACTCCTTGAAACTTTGCAATAATTTGATAATCTGTAACATCGCGATCTTCAAACCAAGCAGTTGGTGTGAGAAAGTCTCGTGGATTTGCCAAGCCATTAGCACCAATTGGTCCTAAATCAGGAAGTCTGAAGTGATCGTCATACACTTCGAGAATGTAACCACGAGTTGGCCCATTAACATTAACAGAGAAACGCATTCCTTTTTGAATGACGCATATTTCATTCGGTTCGACATAAAGCTTTCCAAATTCTGTGGTGATGTCAAGTGCACCTTGTTGTGGAACGATTAAAAAGTCGCCGTCACTGTTGTAGAATGATCGATTCTCCATTGATGTGTTGCAAACGTAAATATGAATTGCAAGTCCATGACGAACTCGTGCATCACCAGCACCACAAACAGTACTCAATCCATCAACAAAATCTGTTTTCCATGTTTCGTCTGGTATTTCAAAAGGATTCCAACGAAGTTGTGCTGGGTTTGGTAAAACTTCATCCCAGTTTGACGAGAGAAATGTTGCACCACAATATGCATCCGGTTCGAATGGTTTATGACGAACTGAAGGAAGAATTCTATACAACCATGTTCGTTTATTTTCACTACGTGGTGCTGTAAAAGCACTTCCAGAAAGTTGTTCTGCGTACAAGCCATAAGCACATTTTTGAGGACTGTTTTGACCTTCAGGTAAAGCATTTGGATAGTCGGGATGAGTTGATGCGAATTCAGAATCGAACCCCGATAAATACTTTAAGAAAATAAATTAAATTACTTGACTTTTTACACTTTTTTAATTTAATAAGTTGATTAAACCAATTGAAAACCTATTCTGATTAGATAAGTATGCTAGCAACTAACTTTATATTCAGGCATGTTTTGAAAATTATGATAAGATTCTGACTGTCGTAAATGCTGCTTCTCTAGACGACGTTAGAAATGAAACTCGTCGGTTTTATTATTCAGTTATTAATTTCTAGTTAGATGGGAAACAAGTTTTAAAATAAAACTGAGCTTGTAAACAACATTTTTTCGACATAGAACACACGATTGTCATTTGATGAATATCAACATTTTGTGGGCTCGACTTCATACATTCATTCATAGCTCGCATGAAGTTATTCTTATAGAATAGAATGATCTTTTATTTACCAATTACGGTATTTTTTTTTTTAACATTGTGTGTGGTTCTTATGATTGCATTGTAATTTTTAAGTTGTTTTTTTGCTGTAAACGTGATAATGAAAGATGTGTCTTGTGTAATTGTCAAAAGATAACTAAATTTATAATCTCTATTTATCTATCTTTTTCGTTTAATCTATGTACCTGCATTCATTTGCATAATGTTTCTTTTATTAACAGTACTAACATGGGATATCTTAGATTTTGNATTTGATGAATATCAACATTTTGTGGGCTCGACTTCATACATTCATTCATAGCTCGCATGAAGTTATTCTTATGATTGCATTGTAATTTTTAAGTTGTTTTTTGCTGTAAACGTGATAATGAAAGATGTGTCTTGTTTAATTGTCAAAAGATAACTAAATTTATAATCTCTATTTATATATCTTTTTCGTTTAATCTATGTACCTGCATTCATTTGCATAATGTTTCTTTTATTAACAGTACTAACATGGGAAAACTTAGATTTTGTTCCCTGTTGAAACTTTCATTGCATTTATTCTTAGGGTCTCGATAAGAGGTTCTGGAACGACCAAAACGCTGTCTGAGAAATATTTGTTTCTTCTTCGTCTTGATTTCAGTTTGAATTCTGTCGGTATGTATGATTCCAAATATTAGAGTGCCGAATATATATTTTTGAAGTCTAGGAGCTTATAAAAAGAGGGTGTTGAAGTATTTGTACAAGAGAACTCAGTCTTGAATATTGGAATAAAGAGGACAGTTGCATATTGGCTAGCTCCGTCATTAGTCGTCTTTTATTATACGCGATTTCTCCCTGTTTCAGGTTTCTACAAATTCAGTTATTATTTGACAATTAAACAAGACACATAAACCGAAAAGGATATCATTAAGATGAAGAAACAAGAAGTCTTTTCAAGACAATATCGTGCTCAAATGAATTCAATTTATTATCTTTAAATAGATAATAAAAAATGAAAGTATTTATCACGCCATTCCCAATGCCACATTTGAAAAATATTAAAATCCTACATGTTCTTAAAAACAACGTTTAGAATTAAATTGTTTTTAAATGCAATTGGCTGGGTACTTTTAAAAGTGAAAAAGTAAAATTTAACGACTTTTTAACATTTGAAAACATTTTGCAATTCCTTCCCCTTGCCAAAAAAAGTTTTAATAGGAATTTTGTTCCCTAATGTAACATCTAAAATTTCGCGTAGAATGAGTAGAAGTAACGATTAGTTTGATATTTATTTAATTGTGACTAGAAAAAATCTATTGGATTACACGGGAATCTATTTTCCCTTCAGAATCGGGAATTTTTTTGCGAAAAATCTTTTTTTCCTTTTGCAAGGATTCGCAAAACTTTAGAAGATGGACACAAAACAGGTTACTGTAAAGCTTGGCTCCGATACAAAACAAACGAAACCAACGAATACGAAAAAGAACAACAAAACACAACCTTCTGTCGATTTAAACAAGGAGTTTCAAAAAGCAAAAGAAGAAAGTAAGATAACATTGAACTTGTCTAAGTGCAACATTACAGTGGTTCCGGGCGAGCGCATCAAAGAGCTGACAAATCTTGTAGAATTGTATTTATATGGAAATAAAATAGCTGTATTGCCGTCTGAAATAGGATGTTTAACACAACTTCAGACACTGGCACTAAATGGTGAGTTTTTTAATTGATTTTAAATGTTTTATTGGACTGATTTAGGCTTGTTTGAGAATTTGTGAGAACAATTGATGAAGTGTTTTAAATTGATTTGAATTCATGATGAAACTAATGAATGTGTTTTATGTTTTCTTTATTTTACTACAGAAAATCAGGTGAGTCATTAAAAAAATATTTTAAACAAACATTCGATGAGTAAATGTTGAAAAATGTTATAAAATTTTTCTCTATTTTCAGCTCAATTCATTGCCTGAATCACTTCAAAATCTAACTAAGCTGAGAGTTCTGGACCTTCGCCATAATAAACTTGGTAAAAGAGAAATATTTTATTTATTTTAAACTTACTTAATCTTCTTTCTTTACATAGGCGAAGATATTCCAGATTCAATTTATAAACTACGAAATTTGACAACACTTTATTTGAGATTCAACCGTATTCGGAATGTGAGCGAAGAAATCAGGAATTTGGAGAAGTTAACAATGTTAAGTTTGCGTGAGAATAAGATCAAAAGTTTGCCGAGAGCCATTGGATGTCTTGTTAACCTTGATATACTCGACATTAGTCACAATCATTTGGAGCATTTGTGAGTTTTTTACATGATTTGAATTTTCTGCATTTATTTCAATAATTATTTCATTGACAGGCCCGAAGAAATTGGTTTGTGTAAGAACCTAAGCGCTTTGGATCTTCAACATAACGATTTACTTGATATTCCCGAAACTATCGGGAATCTTGTGAACCTTGCTCGTCTTGGCTTGCGTTACAATCGATTGACTGTCATTCCACAGTCATTGAAGAATTGTACAAACATGGAAGAATTCAATATTGAAGGAAATTCTGTTTCGGAGTTGCAGGGAATTCTCGCAAACCTCACGCTACTCAACAGCATCACATTGTCAAGAAACTCCTTTGGGAGCTTTCCTTCAGGAGGTCAGAAGATGACTTTATTGAACTTTGATCGTTGATGAATAACTTTTGGTTTTATTTTTATCGGCAGGTCCTGGAATATTTCATGACAATATTACTAGCATAAATCTAGAGCACAACCAAATTGATAAGATTCCTTACGGGATTTTCTCGCGAGCCAAAGCACTTACAAAGCTTAACATGAAAGAAAATTCATTGGTAAGATTTGTGATTTATTTATTTTTTTAGATTTTCTTAAATAATTTCATTAATTGCAGACACAATTGCCACTTGATTTGGGTAATTGGACGAACATGGTAGAACTGAATCTAGGAACGAATTCAATTTCAAAACTTCCCGATGACATTCAATGTCTTCAACAACTTGAAATTTTGATTTTGTCAAATAATCTTTTGAAGAAAATTCCAACAACGATTGGAAATTTGAGAAAACTTCGCGTTTTGGATTTGGAAGAAAATCGTTTGGAGGGAACGTAAGTTAAATGAAAGAAAAGAAAAAGAAAAATGTTAATTAATTTATCAATAGGATTCCATCGGAGATTGGACTTCTTCATGATCTGCAAAAACTTATTCTTCAATCAAATCAAATCACTGCATTGCCAAGAACTATTGGACATCTTTCGAATTTGACGTATTTGTCAGTTGGTGAAAACAATCTGCAGTTCATTCCTGAAGAGATAGCAAATTTGGAGAACTTGGAAAGTTTATACATTAACGATAATCCTTTGATTAAACTTCCTTTTGGACTGGCATTATGTCAGAATCTCGCCATCATGTCGATTGACAACTGTCCACTAAGTTCCATTCCTCAAGAAGTTGTGGCTGGCGGACCTTCACTCATAATACAATATTTAAAACTGGTATGATCTTTGAAAAGATTTTTTAATTATAAATTGTTTGACTGTCAAGACTTTTTATCATCAACAGCATTCACCATACCGACAAATGTGATTTACTAATGAAATCATTTGCGAGAAGAACACGTTGTTTGGAAATAAAATGTATCGTCAACAACAACAGTTTTCATCATCATTCAATCGTCATCCACCTCATCAAAGCAAGTTATTTAACAATTTAAAAGATTTGGGTAGCTATCAAAACTATGTTCGGTTTGAAATTAAGTGCGGGAATGCGTCATTTGTTTATGAGAAGAATGTTAATCGTGGTGTGAATAATTAAAGCATATTTAATGTTCCTTTTAAACTGATTGGGGAATTGTTACTTTTAAACTGATCGATCTTTAGATTGAATATGAAAATCATTAAAAAATGTTTTCTAAATATGAGATTCGGATCTATGAATCGTTTTTGAAAGTCAACTCGAATTTATGAATCTTGAGAATCTTCAATAGCCCAATTTCAATCAACTTTTTAATTTGTTTTTGTGAGAAGAATTTTATAAAATTTCATTTATTGGAACGTTGAAACGTGAAGTTAAAGATGAATTAACTCAACATTTTAGAAGTTTTCGAGTTCCTTCACTTTAATTTTATTTTCTGATTTATCCCACCTTTGCATTCACTCATTTCATTGCTTAAAATTCCACCGTCATGACTTGAGCTCAACACGATATAAAAAAAGATTGTTTTAATGTTCCATACATGATCTAATCGTGTACATAAAATATATATTGGAAACTTTTCTTTCAAAGCTGATATGTTCTATCACATTCAATCAAATTTAAATGATCTTGGAAAAGAAGATGGAAAAAGCTCAATGTTGGTAGAGCAAAACATAAAGAAAAAAAGCACAATTTCAACTTTGGCTTTATTAATAAGATAGAAATTTGAAAAACAAAACAATCTTGAGAAAAATATTTAAAGAAAAAAAATATCTATAGCTGTTGTTACAATGTTAATGATTGAAGAAAAAAAGGATAAAAATATTTGTTGCTTGAGCACTTCATGAAACTTTTACATAAAAGTATTTAAAATACAAAAATTGAGACAAATTAAGAATATATCTTGTGCATCACTTAACATTGTGAAAGAGAAAGGATTAATCGTGATTACATAAACAAAATGTGAAGTGTAAAAATTTCAGATAAACAACAATTGAATTCAATTAAGCATGAATGATTGAAGAAAAAATTTAAATGTGTTTATAACTGTAGAATGCATTAAAATATTATCGATTGATGTTTAATTGATAATAACATATAAAGGAAATGATAATTTCAAGAATTGAATGACTCTGATCTGAAGCTTTCAATCAAAGAAAATGTAGAAAAATTTCTCATTCGAAATCGGTTCCAAATTCGAATGTTGTTGCATTTTATGTGCAACTTAAAACGCTTCAATTGATGCAAACATTGTCTTAAATCGAAAAGCTTTCAGACTTATTAAACTCTCTTGAAATTTAAAGAACAACCGACTGATATCAAGAAGAGTTTGTTTGTAGCGATTTTGTGAAAGACTTGATTTGTATTCAGAGTCATTTACTTCTTGAATAAATTCACCTCAAATTTCTGTAACTTTAACAACTAAATACATAAAATTAATGTGTATTGATAATAGATAATAGTTTTCAACACACTTGTTTGACTGATGTCTGTGTGACAAAATTGACGAAGGCATTTTAACTTTGCAAATCAATTTATCTTCGAATATCACATGAACTTGACTTTGCTTCTTCATTCCTGTAGGAGTCTTTGTTGTTGAATTGTATTGTCAGTTGCCTTCAAAAATATTCCAACATAAAAAGTGCATAAAATAACCAGCATCGATTTCTTGGATAAATGAAGCATTTTTGAAACTGCTTTCTCGAACTGTCACCCGAGTATGCATAATTATGACGTTCATATTTTAGGCCATATTTATAAATTATGACAACGACATTAAAACACGTTATTTATCACTCACTTTAGAGATTTCTTTTGGTTTTGTTTTATGACAATCGATTTTTGTATACAAAAGCTTTTAGCGCTGTAGAATTTTCTTTAGAAAAGATTAGAAAACAAAAAAATTATTTGTGATAATAACTTTTATTTCTTTTATGTATTCATTCACCTCTTTGAAAGTTTTTTAAAGGAAGAAATTGCTGGAGACTTGGCTTTTAGATTAAGATTTTTTTGCGGTATTTAAGAGAGTCAGAAGGAATTATACAAGTAAACAAAGTACACAAAAATCAAACAAACTATTTATTTCTTTACTGCTCAAAAGCTGTAATTTATATATTAATCCCAACATAATAAATATTACTAAATAAATATGTAATACATTCATAAATTATCAAAAAATTTATGTAAAAACCTTGGTAAAACAATTGATTCAAACACGATTTGTATAAAAGGAAAACCAATAAATTAAATGTTATTTAAATGTAAACATGTGCGTTTTTCTTATTCACCCCTTTCTTACTGGATTTAAAAATAAATTATCTAATTAATTCTGAGAATTTAAAAATCGTGTAAGGGATTATCTTTTTTGCATAACGTTAACGTCTTTTAATTTAAATTCAATTGGAACAAGCTGAAACAGAAACATGAAATTTAAAACTCACGTTCATCATATTCAGTGAGAAACTTAAAAAACCAAGAAAAAAGAAAACAAATTTTTCGTAAAGCTTGCTAACTGCATCAAATAATATACTTTAATTCGTTCAATATGTTCCATTTCAAGTTATCGATATTAGTGATCACCTTTTTATCGATTATACTCACAGTGAAGTGTAATGAAACGGAAAAGAAATGTAAATATTCGTAATCTTTTTTTTTTCTTCTTTAATTGCGTTTCTAAATAGTGAAAAAATTTGTTTACTTTGCAGTTTTAACTTGCAACGTTACCAATTCTACACCTGAGAACACAGGATGTCCTAATATATCAAAATGCATTGAAAATGTAACTTTGAATGGAGTTTTACAAGGGTCTTGCGTATGTGCTCCCAATTATACCGTGAATCAGAATTATTCTGCTACCGATAATTCTTCGCAATATTGCATTGAGAACAAGTCACCTCCTGCAATACAAACAACAATTATCACACCAACAGTAACAACTCCAAAGCCTCCAGTAACAACAACAGCGAAAATTGCAACCTCGTCAAATATTCCTATTATAAAATCAACCGAACCAGCGGCAACTTCAACTTCGTCATCAACAACAACAACTTCTACAATAGCAACAACAAAGAAAACTGAAACTGACGTTCCAGATGAAAAATCTGACGTTAAAGTGGCGCCAGCACCCGAACCTCATCATGTGTTGGGAGGAATTTTGCTGCCGATTTTTATAGTTTTAGCATTCATCGCCGGAGTTTTTGTTGTCAGAAAATATGATGTGATTGACCGGGTTCATGGATATGTTCGTAATAGAAATCAACAAACTCGGTACAATGGACTTATGGAGAATGACTTTGATGATGATCCTCTGCTGATTTAAGTTCGACACATTTGTTGTCTCTTCAGTTCCTGAACATATTTTAATCCAAAGATTGTTGCCTTTCTTCTAATAACAAACTTTATAAAGAAAAAACTTCTTAATTTTACAGTTCACGCGCTTCAGACATAATTTTTTTAGTTTATTTATTTTTATCATTGTTGTCGAGATAAGCTTTTGTTATATTTACACAGACTATTAAATATTCGAAAATCTTTTTGTGATTTCATCGTAGAAGTTTGGTTTAGATATGTGACATTGTACACAATAATTTTAATTGATATGAGTGTGATAATAGTGAGACAATTGCTGATAAAAAAAGGATGGAAGGAAAATTATTTCATAATATGAAAAATCTAAATTTATTCAAATAATTTAAATTCAATTTCAACATAAATTAAATTGTGCTATTTCTGAAATTTACCCAAATAAAAAAATTTCAAAAAAAAATGTTGGATGGAAGTTAATTAAGATTCTTGGGCAAATGAAGAGAAGAAAAGAACTTCAGTTTATTAACGTGCATTTCTATTTATTTTCATACATTTTTAAATATTAATCATGTTAATA